CCAAAAAAAAAGTCACACACTAATATTTCTTTGGACCACCTTTAGCTTTGATTACATCATGCATTCACTGTGTCATTGCTTCGATAAGCTTCTGCAATGTCACAAGATCTGTTTCCATCCAGTGTTGCATTAATTTTTCACCAAGATCTTGCTTTGATGACTAGACACTAGGCAGGATGGTTGCATCACTTCACCTGCCTCTCTTCTTACCCTGATGTGCCCATCACTCTGGAACAGGGTAAATCTGGACTCATCAGACCACATGACCTTCTTCCATTGCTCCACATATATATATATATATATATATATATATATATATATATATGTTAGTGGTTTTCTTAACGCTACACAGCTGTTCACTCCCAGTCCCTTGAGTTCCCTTTGCATTGTGTGACAAGGTTAAGTCAGGTTCTCAATCCATCCAGAGGTTCTAACTGGTTATATTTATCTACCTGGATTATTGAGCAGCATCAGGACAATTAAAAGTATAATTTCCTAAAATTTTTGAGGTGGCTGAAGAGTAATCTATGAGGGCCAAGGCCACCATTGGCCACCCCCTGGCTCCTCCATTGCATCTGGTAGTGGATAAAATTGCTCCCTCCGCTCTCCAGGATCCATCACTCTGTGCTGCCTCAGCCAAAATATTAAAAATCCTCCTGCTGTTCAACTCACTGCACAGTGCAACTCCCACACATTTGGATATCTTGTGCCAAAAACATTAAGGTTTTCTTACATTCTCTGTTCAAGTCTAGAAATAAATCTCATCTCCCAAACTACAAACATTCACTATTCAAATCCCTCAGAGACGAGGGACTACGACATACCACTCTATGTGAAGCCCTTTAGGTGGGTCAGTGTGGGGTTCAAGAAAGGACTGGGGATCAAACTGACGGCTTTTTAGTTGTAATGTCTCTTTGTCAGGCCTGCCCTGTGGTTCCCTCTTAATATATTGCCTAATTTGAACTAAAGGGAAGTGACACATGGTAGGTATCTGTTCATCCAAGTTTTGTTAAAGGTTTCATATGTGGGGAAGATGTACTGCTGTCAAACAGCTGTTTGCTTCAAGTTCAAGTTATGTTTACTTGTCATACACAGGTTTACACAAGGTTAACAGTACAATGAAATGTTCAGGATGAGTTTATCATCAGTTCGTAGTTTGGTCTATGACCTCTGACCCTTGGGTTGTCAACCAGATTTACCATGAACTATTTTCTTAAAAGTGACTTTTGACTTGAATAGCGTCTGTTTTCACACATTAGCTGTCCTTGGACTCTTGTGGGAGCATGAATAATGATGATTATTGTTTTCATTTATTATAATGAAATCAGGTGAAATATTATAATGTGTTAAACGTACTTCTCTGTTCTTTTTTCTTTTTTTCTTCAGAAAATAACTTTTCCTTGCGAGACGCCTGTGTGCAAGTGTTTCTGAGCCAGAATATGTTACTTCAGAGGGGAGGCATAATATTTTGCCAAAACACTTCTTCGTCTTTGTCCCCATTCTGTGCAGTTCATCCGATGTCTGTCTTCATTTTATTCCTGAGCAAATAAACACGTTTGCTCAGTAACAATTTTTGTTAGAAGCAAAGTAGACGTTTCAAGTAACTACTGAAGGTGAAAGGTGATTTTTTTTTTCACTGCTAGTCTCACATTTTCAGCTTAAAGTGTGAGCCGGCTGAAAATTGCTGATCGCCCGCGCACCTTCTCATCAGCCGTTGTCCTCACCGACCCCTGAAGCAGTCACGGTGACTTTCGGCTACCTTGGGCAGTGCCTGGCTAGTCTTCTCTTCATGATGTACCCTTGTCTGATCCACCAGTAAAACCCAGGAAAGATGAGTGAACTTGTTCCCTCTGACCCAGTAAGAAGCAGAAACCTGTTGACATGAATGCAACTTTGGGTCTGGTTATAATGGTTATGCTGATACAACTTGATAAATCATTTCCTGGCTTGTAGTGATAACAAATGACTTGATCTGGCCACATTCAATAACTTCTCTTAATCAAATTTCAAAGTAAACTATTTATCAAAGACTTAAACTTTGTCTAAATTTGTGCACCCAGCCAAAAATTATTCCTGCTCAAAGAACTAATTTTGCCTTAAATTAAAGAGTATTAATCCTTGATTGATTTATTGATTGATTATGGTTTAGATTGTTCATTACTGCTTTTCAAACAAGTTATTCTCCAAATTATTATCCTTTATTTGTGTTGTTCGTTTTATTTATTATTGTTAATTATTCTTAGTTTGATTAATTATTTTTGTAATAAAACTTCCAATGAAAATGGTCTCATTGGATGAATATTCATGTTATGGTATATAATTCCCTGTAGTTGACAGATTCCACTTCAGTGATAGAGTTCTGGTTATTAAAGGGTGAATACATTAAGTTGTTGCTGGTCAGTAAACTGATCGGCTGGTGCCCTGCTTTAACCAGTGCAAAACAATAAGTGTATGCTGGTGTAGATTTTCAGTCATCCAGGACATGGTAAATCCCCAAAAGGTTAAACACAAAAACAACTGGACTTCTATTCTGTAGCTAAAGAGATGTTTCGCTTCTCTTCCAGGAGCTTTCTCAATTCAAAGAACGGCGAGTGTGGAGTTTGAGTTTTATAACTTAAACGTCACTCTCTCCATTCTTTGGATTTAACAATAAGTGTAGTAAAGAGAGGAGCAAGTGTCACACTTCTTCCTCCATTCCCTCATATGTGCTACACTGTTTACCTGTATTATTCTATAAGCTTGTCTTCTAGTAATCTTGGCGTTATCTCCCAGTCCTTGGACCTCAGTTACTACACCTTCTTTATTCCTCCACCAGTGGTCCCAGCTCAGCCTGAACATCCCCGGCCCATCTCTCATCATAAATTTATCAAAACCCCTCCCTGTGCTCAACAGAAAAATCCCAGACCTACCAAAGACAGTCATCACCGTGACATCTTTTAACCATACTCTTATTCTCAAACCTTCAGAAAAACTTACCTCAAAAACACATTTATCCTCTCCAGAATTATCCTCCATCAACTTCCCTCCCTTCAAAATAAAACTTGTCCAAGTACTTATAGAATCTCCCGGTAATGTTTTCATCCTTAGTTCATATTTATATGATGTAACAAAGATAATTGACAGCCCCTGTGTGGTGGCTTGCAGACTGCACTTTTTTCACATATATATATTATATCAGTATATATATATATATATATATATATATATTTTATCACCTTTTTCTTATTGGAAAATAGCAAACCGTTTGTCTTCCTGGAATTTAGCATCAACCTGGTATGTCAAAAGCAGATTACAAGAGCTTAAAAACAAGAGCAATGGTGTTTGCAAGACAGTAAACAACTGAATCATCTGCGTAGAGGTGCACAGATCCAGCAGTGAGAGCACGACCCAGGTTATTTATATGTAAAGAAGAATCCATCCAGAGAACCTGACTTAGAGTTATTGATATAAGCAGTAAAGGGCAGAAGTCCTATAAATGACCCCTGTGGGACCCCTTTGGAGATTTTCTGGTAATGTAATGTTTTACCATCAAACTGCACACATTGCCTACATGCCAATAAATAATCCAAAAACCAACTCATAAATTGTAGGTAAAGCCAGTGCCCAAAAGCCACTGACACATAATCCCATGGTGTCAAAGGCCTTGGTTAGATCTTTAAAAATGGCAGCTCAGTGATCTTTGACATCAAGACCTTCTACATCAATAGTTTCAAGGAAACAGTAACTGTGCTATTTCATTCCCTAAAACTAGACTGATGAGGCGATAAAACATTATTAAAGGACAAGTGGTTCTCAAGCTGTTTGTTGATGAACTTACAAATGATTTAAGCGTAAACGAAGCTCTGAGATGGCGCTGTGACTGTTTAGCGTTGTGGGATCAGTGCCTTTCAACAGGGGTCAAAACAGACAGTTCTACAAATGTCGGGAATAGAGTTGTTGTGTGGATAAATTAGTTAGGATTCAGATGAGTGGAATATCTGTATTATCTGCTGCCAAACGTAACAAATAAAAGGAAAGATCATCAAGACCAGCTGATTTTCTGATATCCAGATGTTTGAGCATTGACTGACTGACCTGTGTTGGTAAGCAACTGAACAAGAGTACCTCATAAAGTAGGTGGTGAGTGTAACTATTTAAATAAACCGCACCCCATTAATTTTTGCTTAAATGTCCCTCAGTAAGTTGCACCTCAACCACAGGATTTTAGCATTCATCAACAAGATTCTGTCGTAATTCTGGCTGATGTTTGACCACTTTTCTTGACAGATTTGGTAGCGGTCATTAAAATTAGTTGGCTTTCTGACATAGACCATATATTTAACAGAGTCTGTGAATTTTCAATCAGGTTCAGGTTGACGCTTGTGACGGTTCAATTCAATTCAGTTTATTTATAAAGCGCCAAGTCACCGCAGAAGTCATCTCGGGGCACTGAACAGAAACATTCATATAAAAATAATAAGTTAACACTATTTATCTGAGGAGCAGAGTGCTTTTAATTTTTTCTAGCCTTTAAAAAAAATAATAATAATAATAATTTTTCTCAAGCCTTATATTGCCCACGTCTGAATTAAATCAATATATTATATTGTATATCATTTGCAGTGCTACCAGATAGAAGATTTACATTAAATAGATTAGATTTTATATTTGGTTGTAGACAGAAGTGGTCATAAGAAAATCAGAAGGCGTGCGTGTGTTTATGAGTATTGTTTTCTAAAGGTTTCTCCAAATTACGTGCTTGCTTTGTGGCGCAAGAGTGGTTTCATCACCGGTGGTTTTGGTTTCTGCGTATGGGCTACTGGGATAACTCAGTCATAGAGGTTGTGTTTGTGTGGGAGGGTGTTGTATTTTAAATTCTACCTGCGTCTGGGTCCTTCTTCCTCGTGTGATGTTTCTTCTCACTCATAATGAGTGACATCACTGGAGTTTCCCCTAAAGGAGGAGGAAGCATACTATAAGAGCGCTCCCTTCTGTATACCAGTATCAGTTAACTTCAAACAATGACAGGTGAATGCAAGGTGATCATGGATTCTGCAGCAGACGCTGCTGAACAGACTTCACTAAACATCCAGACAAATCAGAGGTCAAGGCTGAGCACGGCCCTGATGGCTGTCGCTCTTTGCCTTGCTGCTGCTGCTGCTGCTGCTGCGCTCCTCATCTTCAACATGAACGCCAAGGTGAGTCCAGATCTGCCACCAACTGTGGTCCAGATCCCCAGAACCCAGCCCTTCTCTAACCACCTTTATCTGTCTCCTTTTGATGCAGGACCTGGGACCAGATCAGCACAATTATGGTGAGCACTTCTCTTTAATAATCCTCATAAAAGTTTTTTTAGGACCGAGGCTCGGTCATCCCACAGGTTTGGACTAAGATTATATTTGTGTGAGACATCACACGAGATCAAGCATTGTGAATGACTCTCAGCTACCACAATAAGAAATTTTAACTCGATATCTGCAAAACTGATGGAGTTAGAGCCGTTTATGCATTTGGCTAATTTCAGTAAACCGTGGAGACCATCTAAAACTGGGTTCACTCCCAAATTTAATATTTATAGATGTTCATTCCGTGATCATTTCCTGAAGGTTTCATTAGAATTTATCAAATGGTTCATGAGATATTTTACTAACAGACAATCAATTGATAATTATAACCTAAAGCAAAGCTTGCGTTGTGATTACTTTATCCGCATGTTCAGACATTTCTTAAAGCCCTTCTGTTGCTCTGAGGGTTTGCTCAGACGTTGCTGTGTAAAAAAAAATAAAGTTTTATGTCTTTTCTTTTCTTTACAGATCTGCGTCACACGCTGAGGCACATTTCAAACGTGAGAGCAGCGATTCATTTAGAAGGTCAGAAAACAATTCTGTTTATCATTTCATCCAACAACTTTTAAAAAGCATCCTTGATTTTAGACCTTTGCTTTAGAGAAAACTGAAGACCCCTTTAGTTAACGACTCTCAGCTACTACCATGCTAAAGTTAGCTCAGCGTCTGTAAAATGACCTTATAGTTATGGTTATGGCTGTTTTAGTGTTGGCTAAAGTCAATTAGCTGCAGGAACCATCTTGAATCAGACTGAACTCAAAAGTTATGCAGCTGTAGATTTAAATCTAATAACTTTCTGAAAGTGGTTTATTTTTAACAAGTTAAAATGGTTGTACAACAAACGATAGCAATAATCATAATAATACACAAATAGGCCATTGCTGAAAAAGAAAGATGAATAATAAATATAATAATAACAGCAATAACACATGAATAGACCTGTACAAAAGTAGAAAGATACACTAACAATTGTAGAAATACATGATCCAAAACAAACACGTAAGAGAACTTGTCAGCGTTTTAGCCGCACGAAAAGGAGGAAGAAGTATAAACTTTTTTAACCCTATCACTCATCTATGATTAATACATTATTTCTTACACAAAAGTGTATTAGTATCTTGATTTGGTATTCGTATACATAATTTCTACACGAGGAATACATAAAAGTAAATAGCATAAAAAACAGTTCTTTTGTTAGTACTTGCTGACAAAAGGAATTAACTATATTTATTAACAGTAATAGTAATAGGTTTATGTGGTGTTTTGCAAAAACATAAAAACAAGGCAAATAACCTATTTGCACACACAAACATGGTCAATAGTTTCTAAAGCTTTTTTTTTTCTTAAGGAAAGCTTTTACGGTTTGGTGCTCCATTAAACTGTATAGTGTTAAACCAGTTTATCTGCTGCCTTAAGTGCCGAGCGTTTGAGCTCACCTTCATTATTATTTGTCCAACAGGAGAATACAACCCCAACGTGACGACGTCAGTGAAATGGATGAGTCAGGTGGACCAGTTCCACTCTCAAGGAGGCCTCGAACTCAAAAACAACGAGATTGTGATTCCACAAAGCGGCCTCTACTTTGTTTATAGCCAAGCATCGTTCCGGGTTAGCTGCAGCGGCGGTGATGCCGACATCACCTCAAAGTCCATGGTCCACTTGAGCCACACCGTGAAGCGCTGGTCCAGCACTTTTGGCAACGATGACGAGGAGTCCTATCAGATCATCCTGCACTCCATCCGCACGGCCTGCCAGAAGACGGGCGGCGGCGACTCGAACTCTGACGGCAGCTGGTTTTCTGCTGTCTATATGGGAGCTGTGTTCCACCTGAAGACAGGCGACAGACTGAAGACGGTGATGGAGAAGAAGATGCTGGAGAAACTGGAGGATGACCCGGGGAAGACTTTCTTTGGAGTGTTTGCTTTGTGACGATAGCCAACTCAGGACGTGTAAAGAGGCGTGGAGCTTCACGTGCCTCAGCTGCTGCTTCACTGGGCCTCACATTGAATGTTGCAACCTTCTGTAAACACTCGAGGAGAGACTCCACTGAAGACCAACTATGGTGACTCTACCGACCAACACAAAACCTCCGAGTGCATTAAAGCACCATCTCAATGGGTCCATAATGTTGTGTACTGAGTACTATTTTTTTGTTGTTTTACTCTTTCCTAACTGTATGTGTATGTGTTAAATAATGTTTCACCTCAGGCTGACAAAGGTGGGAAAAAAACAGCGATTTTATGAGATGTATTTATTAATTTTCATTCATATTTATTTTATTTATTGAGGTATTTATTTTTTATTTATTTATGTGTGTGTGTTTCTCTGATGATCTGCACAATTTTGTAATATTTATTGAATTGTAATTAAATAAAAAACGATTGGTGGTTATGGTGAGAGTTACTGTTTTATAATGTCTGCTACACAAATGTTTGACTTTTTCAAAAACAACAGTTAATAGTAAATTTCTTTCGGTGTGCAATCTCACATGAAAGATTTGGCAATTTGTTTTATGCCAGCTGCTCTTACTGACGCAACCTGAGCTCAAACCCGCAACCTCAGGATTACAAGACCACGGCACAGAACGCCACAGCCCCCCAAACAGTGTTTAACAAACTGGTAATTTTCTGTATCTTAAAGGGATCTCCGACCAATTGGACCAATAGATCTTAATAATCAATTACTTAAGTTACAATCCAGGCCATAAAAAATACTGTAGGCTGTTTGGATGTGTACTTTTTTTTTTAAATTACTGACATAAAAAGGCAATTTTATTTAGACTGCAATGCATTCTGGGTAAATGACGTAGCCTGGTTGCTCCGGTGCGAGCTCCATTCATCTTGAACATTAATTTAAGACAATATCTGACATTCAACCCGTTAATTTGAACCAGAGCATGTTGAAAGAGATGAGAATGGAGAAATTACTCAGCTTTCACGTTAGCTCCAGAGCTAATCTCTATGACGTTAGCGCCAAAGCTAATCTCTATGACGTTAGCTCCAGAGCTAATCTCTGATGTTAGCTCCAAAGCTAATCTCTACTACGTTTGCTCCAAAGCTAATCTCTGACATTAGCTCCAGAGCTAATCTCTATGATGTTAGGTCCAGAGCTAATCTCTGACGTTAGCTCCAGAGCTAATCTCGGACATTAGCTCCAGAGCTAATCTCTATGACGTTAGCTCCAGAGCTAATCTCTCATGTTAGCTTCAGAGCTTATCTCTATGACGTCAGCTCCAGAGCTAATCTCTGACGTTAGCTCCAGAGCTAATATCTATGACGTTTGCTCCAAAGCTAATCTCAAACATTAGCTCCAGAGCTAATCTCTATGATGTTAGCTCCAGAGCTAATCTCTGACGTTAGCTCCAGAGCTAATCTCTACGATGTTAGCTCCAGAGCTAAACTCTATGACGTTAGCTCCAGAGCTAATCTCTATGACGTTTGCTCCAGAGCTAATCTCTGATGTTAGCTCCAGAGCTAATCTCTATAACGTTAGCTCCAGAGCTAATCCCTATGACGTTAGCGCCAGAGCTAATCTCTATGACGTTGGCTCCAGAGCTAATCTCTATGACGTTTGCTCCAGAGCTAATCACTGATGTTAGCTCCAGAGCTAATCTCTATGACGTTAGCTCCAGAGCTAATCCCTATGACGTTAGCGCCAGAGCTAATCTCTATGACGTTAGATCCAGAGCTAATCTCTATGACGTTAGCGCCAGAGCTAATCTCTATGACGTTTGCTCCAGAGCTATAGCTCCAAAACTAATAGCTCCAAAGCCTTTATAGCTTTAGATCCAGAGCTAATAAATTAATTTCATTCAATTTAAACATCACAAGTTGACTCCTTGTGTTTTAGTCTCCGCTACACCCAATGTACGTCATCTCAGCAGTCGCTGTGCAAAACATCAGACGTGAGCAGCAGAAGACTCTGATGGTCCCAGGTGGGAGATTTTATGGCTCTGTTTTAATCTTCACTTCCTGTTGGAGAATATTTGATATGCACTGATGGCCAGTTGTTAGACGGATGGTCCCCTTTTCCGTGAAATGCTAGTTTCTGGAACTCCACAGCAGGCTGGCTTGAACCACTTTAAAACTATGCTGTTTTTTTACAACAGAGTGGGTTGGCTGATGTAATCGTTCTGATGAAAGACTTAACGTTTTTGTCAGGGGAATTTATGTAAAGGTCATGGATGTTTTTACTTACTAATGTTAAATTAGTCGCTAAAGGGTAGAGTGCCCTCTCCGGGTCAGGGAGGAGGTCCTGCCCCAAGTGGAGGAGTTTATCTTGGGATATTGTTCACGATCGAGGCAAAAATGGAGCGAGAGATCAATAGGTGGATAGGTGCGGCATCTGTAGCAGGCGCTGTACTGGTCTGTTGTGGTGAAGAGAGAGCTGAGTCAAAAGGTGAAACTCTCAATTTACCGATCGATCTACGTTCCCACCCTCATCTATGTTCATGAGCTTTGGGTTGTGACCAAAAGAAGGAGATCTCGGATACAAGCGGCTGAAATGAGTTTTCTCCGCAGGGTGTCTGGGCTCTCCCTTAGAGATAAGGTGAGAAGCTCGGTCATCTGGGAGAGACTCAGAGTAGAGCCGCTGCTTCTCCACGTCGAGAGGAGCCAGTTGAGGTGGCTCTGAGTAAAAGAAGACAAAAAATCTCTATGTTTCATCTTTAATTTGTTTCTGTTTCAAAAAGAGTTGTGGAAGTAGTTTGTAAAATACATTTTTATACCATAGTGGCTTGAAAGGTAATGTGAGATATGAACTGTCAGCTACTCTCCAAAAATTATACAATTTAACTTGTAAAAACTTTAAAACGTGTAAAACTGACAGTTGACACATGTGAAGTCCAACTTTCTGACCCGTTTAAACTCTGAATCATGTTTCCACACTGATGACTCTTCAGTCTGTTCTCTTCTGTTTCACCAAACCATTAATCACCATTTATTTATTTTGTCTTTGTTGTGGGATGTACAATTTACCAAAAAATCAGTTTCAACTGTGCCATGTTTTGGTGAATCATTTGGTGTTCTGTTTCAAAGCTGCTTGACGAAACAGGACAAAACATTTTCAAAGGACAGTAATAAGGCTAACTTAAATAATCACCTCTGTTGCACAAAGCTCGGTTAAAGCTCGGTGAAATATATTTGCCTGCTTCGTTGCTAATTTTAAGGTCACTGATGACAAAAGCTCAACTTCTGCTCATGGGCAGGAAGTCGCAATGTTTATTAAAAGCTCTGTGGTTCCGATGATGACAACAACCGCAATAAAGATGTCCTGCTGAGCGAAGAAGATAGTTTGTTTCCATTAACTTTGTCGTCACGAAAAGGATCCTACCCCGATTTTGTACTTGCTTACAAAAATAAAAAAATTAAAAAAATCAGTTTAATTGCTATGGTAATTTCAATTTTCAGTCAATCACTAATGGGTTATTTTGCTAACAAACACAAAACGACAATGTGAAAAGAGAAAGGAATAAAAAACCATGTGCATTCCTACAGAGGCAGATTTTCCTGCTGTGTTTTTTCCTGTCCTGTAGGCTGAGAGAGGGGATGTACCCAGTATTCAGGGACTTCCCCTCATCACTTTCACTCTGTATATAACTAGTCTCGTGGAAATCTAGACTACGTTGTGCTTTAAAAAAACTGCATGTGAGGCAAACAAAGTGTGATCCCGGAGCGCTTTACCTGACAATGAAGGAGTCCATCAATGTTTTCTGGAGATAAATACTTTTTTTAAATGAGCGATTTTTACCAAAACTTATTCTACTGTTATTGGTGACTGCTATAAAATGCACACAGATGAGTTCATTTCAATGAAGGCCCTCCTTAATTGTCCCCGTTGCAGAGCGAAGAGACTGAATTGGAAATATCATCCATCCATTCATGTTGAGAGCATGAAAATGAGAGAAATAAGTGAGATACTATGGGGTGCCGTTTGTAAAGTTACACAGTCAAAAATTAACATCAATATTTTGGTTTATTTATCCGTTAATAATAAAAAAGTTTTTTTTTTCAAAGTCATATTTTCACCATGTATTAATACATTTGTAAATGTCATAATTCCCAACTAAATATTTTATTTACAAGTTAAATATTTTTATTTACAAACTAAATACTTAACTAGTAAGTTAAATATTTAATTAATAAACAAAGTATTTAGGTGTAAATTAAATATTTAGTTTACAAACTAAAAACTTAACTTGTAAGTTAAATATTTAATTAATAAACAAAGTATTTAGGTGTAAATTAAATATTTAACTGACAAGCTAAATTTTTATTTTCAAAACTACACATTTAGTTTCCAAACAAAATATTTATTGTCCATTTAAGTTCCAAACTAATCATTTAATTCCTAAACTAAATATTTAATTTGCTAACTAAATATTTAGCTCAGACCTAGATATTTAGCTTACAAGTTAAATGTTTAGGTGAGAGGTAAATATTTAGTTAGCAAATTAAATATTTATTTTGGAAATTAAATGTTTAGCTTAGAAATTAAATGTTTAGTTTGGAAATTAAATATTTAGCTTGGACAACAAATATTTAGTTTTGAAATTAAATGTTTAGTTTTGAAAATAAATATTTACCTTGGAAGTTAAATATTTAATTTACACCTAAATATTTAGTTTACTAACTAAATATCTAACTTGCAAGTTAAGTATTTAGTTTGTAAACTAAATATTTAGCTTGAAAATTTAATATTTAGTTTGGAACTATGACATTTATAAATTTATGAATAAAGTGGTGAAAATATGACTGGAAAAAAAAAAAGATATATTTTTTCTTATTAAAAGCCAAATAAACCAAAATATTGATGTTCATTTTTGACGGTGTTTACAAACGGCACCCCACAGGTACCGACCTTTATTTTGGTGTGAGGCTACATTTATTTGTAAAAACGGTCTCTATGAAAAAGTGGCATGCCACATCAAA